CAGAGAACAAATAAATATCACTTTCAGGTTACAGACCAGCTGGGGCAAACAGTATAAGGAAATCCAGTATTCTCTTCTCAGGCTATTAAAAATTAACTGGGTCTAGAGGAAGGGAAAATACAATGTGCAACTGACTCTGGGAGGGAAATAAAGAGCTGGTAAAATACACAGTTCTAGAAATATTTAAGGTGAGGGGAAGGAACAGGGACAATCAGGCTTTTGAGTAGAGAGCTAACAAACTCAGCCATGCAGATTTGCTTTGTTTCTGCACAGGTTCTGCAGAGATTAATTTCCTTCTATCCCTTTTGTATTGATATAAGTTTGTATCACAAGGTCCCAGATCAACTGCCTAAAGCTGCAACCCAAATCTAAGCTATGCCCTTCCATTTCCTCAAGCCTTAAAGGACTTTTGGCAGGTTCAGCTAAAAGTTTGTCCTCCCCAGGAGATAGAACACAGGTAGCAAAAAGATATTTTGTGTTCTTTAGTCCACCCTCCTGAAACCAGCCTACCTCAGGCTGAGGTGTGTTTGTTAATGAGGGAAAATAAATTTGAGATGGAGCCTTCAAGCAGAATTGTGCAGTAGCACAACTTCAGCTTTGCCTTCAGCTCATACTGGGCAGAAAGGGCAGGATGCATCTGCCGCAGCCCGAGAGCTGCTTGGCACGGCAGGCCAGCCCTGTCCTTTGCTGGTCAACGAGCACAACCTGCTGATATTCCACCAGAACTGCAGCCTCGCCGTCTGCACGGGGTTTAGCTAATCGCTGGGGAAAATTCCTCTCATTTCAACCACCAGAAGCTGGAATTATTAGCCAGTGCAATTTGTTTTAGGTTGTGCCCACTGGATTTTCACCACAAAAGCCTGTGCTGCGAGTGGCAGGAGTAAATTCTTCTACAGTAATTTTGGAAATATATTCATTTCATAATGATTAGCACGTAGAATATGGTTAATTTTTTAGAGAAACAGCTTTTAGGGATTTTTAATAACCTATTTCTCACAGCTCAGCTGGGAGGTGAATGCTCAGCACACGTGAAACACTGGGCTAGCCAAGAAGGACCAAACCAAAGGTAAGATATAGGAAGAGGATTTACCTTTTCAATCACCTGCCAACAAACCTGGCAAGCCTACAGCTGTGAGACTGTAAAAGGACCAAGAAATAAAATGCTCAGCACTCATTTATCCAGTTCACTGGGGAACAGACCTTCAGAGGTAGCAAGGACGAAGAACTTTACCAGTTTTTGGAGGTTGTTTGAATCCAACTGTGTAAAGGAAACAATGGATAAACCAGCCCCCATTTGTGGGCAAGCAGAAGTGGGAGGCAGCATGGCTGGAAGGAAACCACGGGGTTTGGTGTGGGGGTAGATTTGCTCTGGCTCAGTTTGGCCCTGGCTTTGCTGATGTTTCTGCCCAAACTATCATTGCCCAGGCATATCTCAGTGTTCTGGGTTTTTTTCCTCCAAAAATCTTATTTCATTCTTCTACTATGCACCTTTATTTATTAAGAGATTATATTAATTAATGCAACTTTAATTTATTAACTTTATTAATTATGCAACTTTATTTATTAAGAGATAATTAATAATTAACTTATTACTTATCTTAACATTTTAACATAATTAATAAGTTAAGGGGGACTAGTCTAATATTTGCAAGGTTTATGGACCCATTCATGGCAGGTACCACCCAAAAGCCCTGGTAACTGGCAGTTTACACTCCCAAAATATGACATCATTTACATGGCAGAATCAGGGTATCTTGGGAAGGCTGAACAGGAAAGGAGGGATTTCTTCAGGACAGCATCAGGTTTAACTCCTTCTCTGCCTGTTGGGGTTCTTAATACCAGAAAGATGTGGACTTGCTGGAGCAAGACCAGAGGAGGCCCTGGAGATGCTCTGAGGGCTGGAGCCCCCCTGCTCTGGAGCTGGGCTGGAGAGCTGGGGGTGCTCACCTGGAGAAGAGAAGGCTCCAGGGAAAGCTCAGAGCCCCTTCCTAAAGGGACTCCAAGAGAGCTGGGGAGGGAATTTGAACAGGGGTCTGGAGTGGCAGGACAAAGGAGAATGGCTTCCACTGCCAGAGGGCAGGGTTAGATGGGATATTGGGAAGGAATTCTTCCCTGTGAGGGTGGAGAGGCCCTGGCACAGGGTGCCCAGAGAAGCTGTGGGCGCCCCCTCCCCAGAAGTGCCCAAGGCAAGGCTAGATGGGGCTTGGACAACCTGGGACAGTGGAAGGTGTCCCTGTACATGGCAGGGGGGTGGAATGAGATGGTTTCTGAGTTCCATTCCAACCCAGACCAGTCTATTATTCTGTGATTCAGTGATACCAGCCCAAACACTCCCATTTGCCTGCTGAGCAATTGCTTAGTCCATCTGAAGACCTTGAAGGGTTTTCTTAGCCACTTAAGTTACTACTGACACTAAAGAGGAAAATGGGGACCTCACACCCCATGCAAAAGAAGGGAATCAGCATTTCCCAATTTAACCCTCCTGGCTCCCCTCCATCTTCATGCCTGCTTGCCACCACAGGGAAGGAAATGGTGCAACTGCAGCTCCCAGGACTGTGTAATGCCAGGGGTTGTTCCATATCCTTCTGTTACTGGGTGCTAGGTGGCAAATTCATGTCTTTCACAACTGCACCTACCAACTGTTAAATTAACATCCCCAACACAAGAATCCCTCCAACTTCGGTTCTGAGCTTCCTCATCCCCAGGTGAGAGGTGTGCACCTGCCAGCTCACCCAGTGAAGATGGGGAAGGCTCTGAGACATCCCAAATGCATCATCCTTCACTTGAAAGCTGTCTTATTAAGAGTACTTTACCACAAGTGCATTAGATATATTGCAGTAGCAATGGCATTTTGATGTGTTTTTGAAAGAGCGGAGCAAGATACAATGCTGTTAGGATCACTTACAGAGAAGAAATAAAAATAAATGTGCACAGTTATGAGCAATTTGGAGTCAGCCCTGCACACAGGAGATGGGGAAAAAATTGCAAAGAGCAAGTAGCTTAGAGCCATTTTACAAAGCACCAGACTGCAAAACAGGAGTCAAGGAAAACCTTCTTCAGTGTTTGTGCACCCGTAACACCTCCCCTTCCTGTGCCTACCAGCTTGGCTGCCTTTACACTGAGCCTTTCCTTCACAAGATTTTGTAGAGCAGATTGGAGTGCTGCAATTCTTTCCTTGATAAAATTAGGAGCATGTGAGTTCACGGGAGTCTATAAAAATCAGTAGTTTTTTACCCTGGTCTGCCCCAGGCTAAAGTTATCTAATGAGGTATTTAAAACTCTCCCACTGCAAAATGAAATAAATCAGAAATAAAATCTAGTTGAGAGAGATCATTATTGCTGAAATCCCACTGGAAACCCCTCAACTTGAATTGGCCAGGCATCCCCTGAAAAAAATCTTTATTTTTAAATGGTTTTGATTGCAGTAGGGAAAAAGCTTCCAGCAGCCAGTACAGAGCTGGCCAAGCTCAGAAACACTTTACAACCTCTCTGCTATGAAATCCTCATTGAAAATGCCACCCATACCACCTCCCCTGCTGACTCCTGCTGTTAAGGAGAGCTGAGAGGGTTTGCAGAGAGCTTGTGTCAAATGAAGGAGAATAAGCAATGAATGTTGTTTCTGGCAAGGATCATACCAAGCCACACATCCCATCTTTCAGTTCAGGGATAAGCAGCATTCCCAAACCCTGGATACCCACTGAGAGCCCTTACCAGCACATTGTGTCATTTAGCAGCCAAGACTCCTTTATGTGAAGCAAATTACAACCAAAAGCCCCATCCAAACTGGACTGAAGGGACATAACTTTTACATAAATATCTGTTTGGTGGTTATGAGTGTGGAAACCAGCAGCTCTTCCTGGCAGCATGGAGGAGAAAGCAGCAGGGATAAAACCAGCCAAACCACTTGTCATAACCCCAGGGAGGGCTAAAAGATTGTTTGGGGATTAAATATTGGCTGTAAAGAAAATCTTGGAAACACAAGTGAAAAATTTGTCTCCAACTGCTTGTTTCATGGAGGTTTTCAGAAAACACAATGTACAGATGCTTTTGCAAACTTGAGGTGGGGAAGAGACATATCTGTTTCTTCTCTGAATAAAATCTGTGGGACTTCCAGAGGTTTCTGTAACTTGAAATATCAAATCATTTATGTGAAAGCACCATGAGCCATTTAAATTTCATATTATCTAAGACATGTCTGTGAAGAAAATCTATTGCTTTTCTGAAGGATTACCAGAGACACAAAGTACAATTAGTTTATTATTTATAGTACAATAGCTGAAACCAAGAAGGTACTGAAGGCATCACTTTAAAGCCTAGAATTGTTGAACTTCAGGTCAGTTTTGCCTTTGCAATGTGGGTTTGCAATTGTTGTTTCAGAACTTGAAGATGTTTTAATAAGTATTACACTGTTAAAAACCCAGGGTTTCAGTGTACAGACTTCATGGGTTTAAGTGAAATAAATGACAATTTCAGCTGAACCAGAAAAAAGAAATGTTTCAATACAAAAACATCTATTTTTCTTTGCATAAGTGAATACTCATTAACGACAAACACTTCCTGTGTTCTCAGTCACAAAGCTCTGGTGGGCACAAACACCCAGGGAGAAATGAGCAGCAAAGGACAAATTGGTGACATCCACTCTGGAGCTTTGGCCCTTTTCCCTCCAGCTCAATCCTCCGAACCACATTTGTGGCTCCTACCATTTTTGGCCTAAATATGACCTTACTCCAGGAAGGGGAAGAAAAGGTGTTAAGAAACAGCTCAACCAGAGTTTCCTGAAATGTGGGGTCATTTCCACCTCTTGCTGTTAAGAGCCCAGTTATTTTATCCATCTTTCCCAACCAGCTTTAACAACTGTCAGAGCCTGCAGACCACCAGAGTGCCCAATATGGCAACACCACCTGCCTGGAGCTGTAATACTCTGCTCAAGACTGATTGGCCAAGACAACAGACTTGGGCTTTCAAAAGCACATAAATACCTCAGGCAGCAGCTGTTCAGTGTCTTTGACTGGATCAAAGAACACGGGTGACACGGCCCCAACATGCCAGCCCTCAGTCTGGTCACTCTGGTCAGCTTGGTGTCCACTGGTGAGTTGAGATTGCTGTCATGCAGCTGGGCTTCACTGGGTTTAGGCAGACAATAATGAATTATTAAAATTCACTTGAACATAAATAATGCTGAGGTTTTTTTCCCCTCTAGTTTTATGAGGAATGATGGTAATGTGGACAGTTATGACTATTATAAAATATTGAAGTAGTTGAAGCTTTCAGAAAGAATCATAAAATCATTATGGTTTGAAAAGACCTCTAAGATAATCAAGTCCAACCATCAACCCAGTACCATTAGAAAGTAAAAATAATTTATTTCACTAACTGTTTTAAAACATCTTTACCTATAGCTTTGCTTTCTTTTTGGTGTATATATCTTAAAGCAAGACATCAGGAAAAAATAGATCAAGGCTATACAGCAGGTTTAATAATGTCTTTTTACCTACAGTTTCTGAAATGACAAACTCCTTGGAGCTCATGTCTTTCCTTTTAAACACCCTATTTTGTACCTGGACATTTTCTGTTGCACTGGACCAAGAACATGGTTGATTTTTTCCTGTTTTTCCTCTCTTCCATGTGAAGTTTTCACCAAGCAGCTGGACGCCCACCCGCCCCAACAGCAGCACCAGCACTGGGCACAGATCTGCAGCGGGAACCCCACCAACCGCGTCCGCGGCTGCGACAGATACGGCTGCGGGAATTTCGGCGCTGACAGGTAACACAGCTGCCTGGCCACCAGGGCCACCTCGCTTTCCTAAATTAAATGTGCAGGCACGAGAAAGATTGCAGTTACATAGGGCTGACACTCAGAAGGAGAGAATACTGCTGTCTGCAGGACCTCTTGCTGATTTTTGGGATATTCCTTGGCCATCTTACAGAAGCACAGTGATACGCTGCTGACAACAGATGCAGGGGTGAAGGAGCAGGGTTGGTACATGAATCACAGACAGAGTAAAGGAAATGGAAGTATTTCAAGGATTTGTGTCATTTACCCTTGTTTATACTCCAGAAATTTAACCAACACTCAGCAACAGCTTACAGGAAGCTGAGTAGATTCAATTACATAAAATCTGTCAGCATCACTGTCTTTAAGTAGGGACCTCATACAACAACAGGTTATATTTCTCTGAAAAATGCTTTTATATGTAGAATGACTCCCACATTTTCTTGTCATTTCCTCTCCTCAGGCTCTAAAAGTGTCCACCTTCATCATGCAGTTTCCAAATTTCTAAGCGAGAAAATGCCAGCCAAGATTCTATTTTACATGGCACAGATTTTTTTGGGATAAAACGGTACTTTTCTCTAACAGTTTGAAATGCCTCATTAACTTGGGAAAATAAAAAATAAGCTTAAATTTGAAATTTCATCCCACTCTGAAGAAGTTTTGAGTAATGTGAACACTTTGGTACACACAAAAAAAAAGATGCTTCAAACCTGCTACTTCTATTCAATTTCATTGCAGGTAAAAAACCTTTGTTAGACGAGCTTCAGTTATCAACCTGCATCAAGTGATCAATTGAAACATAACATTAACCTTGAGAGATGTCCCTGATTATGTATTTCTGCCTCCAGGCACAGTGGCAAAGAAAAGCATGCGGGTGTGGATGTCATCTGCTCTGACGGAGCCACGGTGTACGCTCCCTTCAGCGGGCAGCTCTCGGGACCCATCCGCTTCTTCCATAATGGAAATGCCATTGATGATGGGGTCCAAATCAGGGGATCAGGCAAGTAATTAACAGCAGGTGTGCTGTGAGATGTGCACAAGTAATCACTTCATTTACTTGAGCAAGGTTTCTGTGGTTCTTCAATTCAAGCATAGTGTTGATTAATCTTACATCCTCTCTAGTATGTTGAAATATTGAAAGACAGCACCAGCAGGATGTAGTCCTTTCCTATGCTTTTCTTGCAGAGGAGGGAAGAAAGGAGTTGAACAACAGGTAGCAGGAAAATAACAACCCCAAATCAAAAAATAGGAAACAGTAAAAATAAAGCACCGGAAGTATATCCTCAGTTTTGCTGAGAGGATGTTTTCCTGTCTCTATTTTCCAACACCCTTTTTTCCTTTTTGCCCTGGCAAATATAGTAATTTTGATTTCACCATTGTTGGTACCTTGACTACATTTCTGCTTCATCCTAACAGTCTCCAGTAAGAGCTGGCAGGGAATGCTGCTTGCTCACCCCAGGAGAATTGCAGCTGATGTTTCCTGACCCTGTTTCCTCTCCTGTCTCTCCCAGGTTACTGTGTGAAGCTCGTCTGCATTCACCCCATCCGCTACCACGGCCACATCCGCAGAGGGGAACGACTGGGGAAAATGCTGCCAATGCAGAAAGTATATCCTGGCATTATTTCTCATATCCACGTTGAGAACTGCGACCACTCTGATCCTACTCATCTGCTTACACCTGGTAAAAAAACCTTTAACAGCATAAAATGTAACTCAGAACACGAGTAGATTTTCACTCCAGGAACTGTGATACACTTTTTGAATTTTTGTATTTAAAGTATTTTCTTCTGTGAAATAACCCTAATCTAGAAATATTACCATCCAGCTTAGGTCTACATTCCATTTACATTTCCTGAAGGATTATAAATTTTATGGGGAGATATCCAACTAGAAGCATGGGATGTAATATCAGCATGTTAATTAACTGTAAATCATAGTAGTTGCAAATATGCAAGTGATAAAACAATCTAGAGGTTAACTTTGATGTGCTGTGTTCCTGTGTTTCAAAGATGTCCCACCACTGCCACAACAGGACGGGCGCTGGGCTGCAGTGTGTTCTGGGAACCCTACCAATGAGATAAGAGGCTGTGATAAGTACGGCTGTGGATACTATGGAGCCCCAAGGTAATATAATAATTGGAACACATGGGGTTTTGCTGTATTTCCCCTGAACTAAGAGTTGCACTTTGTTTAAGTCACATAAAAATTACAGCTTTGAAGGCTTGGATTGGACTTGAGAAACTTTTAGGCTGCCCACATTGTTCATGACACCTCTCTGCTGGGAGCTTTTCATCAGACTAAGCCATGCCTGACCTGACCTAGTGCTGGGAGCACTCCTGACTCAAGTGGAGGGTTGGACTTGATGTCCTTCACACAACCAAACTTTCTGTGCCTCTATGGTTTCATTAGACTCCATGGTCTTTATCTGAAGACCTGGAAGAAAGGCATTTTTCTCCAACAGGTCTCCACCCTTACATGACACTACCTCACCTACACCTTTGCAGATCCTTCAGCCAGTTTGCTGACACTGTTTCTGCCCCAAAAACCCCTTTCCAGATCTCACCAGGTGCTGCCTAACCTCTCTCTGCAGCACTGGGCCTGAGCAGAGGTTTCTGTAAAGGTGTGTTTGTTTTCAGACGCAACGGCAAAGGGAAGCACCGGGCAGTGGATGTCATCTGTGCTGACGGGGCCACCGTGTACGCTCCCTTCTCTGGCCAGCTCTCTGGGCCTATTAAATTCTTCCACAATGGAAATGCCATTGATGATGGAGTCCAAATCAGGGGACCAGGTAAATAGCTATCTGTCATTTAACATTTATTTGTCTTGAGCTCATATAGGATGCGTTATCTTGCAGTTAGCCACGTAGTTTAGCCACGTTTTCTTCTATCCACTTACATTCAGAACTTTTTGCTCCTGCTACAATGCAAATAACTGAGTTCTGCAGAATGTCTTCCAGCTTTTCCCTTTCCTACAGCACAAATTCCCAACTTCTCCTTGCCTTCCCTCTTCTACCAAGTCAACGACTCCAACCACTACCTAATTTTTATGACCACAGTATTTCTGCTATTTTGGTATTTCCACTATTGCTATCTCAGTGGAAAGGACAAGACAGACATTGTTAATATTTCTGAAATATAGTACAGAGGAACAAATGCTTCATCAGTCATCTGAGGTTTTCCCTCTTGTTTTTTCACCAGAGTTCTGTGTAAAACTACTCTGCATCCATCCCATAAGATACAGTGGTGCAATTTCCAAGGGACAAGTCCTTGGGAGAATGTTGCCAATGCAAAGAGTATTTCCTGGGATCACGTCTCATATTCACATTGAGAACTGCGACCACTCGGACCCTACAAGCAATCTTGAAAGGGGGAAAGGGCAAAGAGAATGAAATGGAAACACCGTAAATTTGAAATAAATCTATCTCAGCATCCAAAAGTTGTTCTTCTTCTCATGCACAACTATATATATACTATCAATACCTATTCAATACTTTGGGCCTTACGCAAGCAGTGTCTGTTGGATGGCAACAGGGACTCACAAAACAAACAAAGATTTGAGTTTTTGTTGGAATTTGCATTTACCAGAGAATCAGGAAATTAGCAATGACCAGTTATAAGCTTTCTCAAAGTCTGAAAAATCAGCTAAAATGCGAAGTGCTCACTCCCTCCTGTGGCAGAGAAGATGCATTCCTGTCAGCTTCTCCCCCAAGCACCCGCTGGCCTCACTTATTCAGACCAGGGAGAACAAATGCTCTGGAAAACCAGTGCATCAAAAATCCCAACATTCACCAATGCAGGCCTATTTAACTGGAAGCTTGGAGCTGGAGCAAGCTGACATTAAACAGACATTCGATTACCTTAAAGGTCTTTTCCAACTTCAGTGATTCTGTGATTCGTGGCTTCACAGAAACACTGCCTTTGCAACAGGGACTGAGACAGGGACAATATTCAAAGCAGCCTTTTAAGAACTTCCTCCTGAAGTGTAACTCTGTCCCCAGTGTTTATAAACACACTAACATTGTTCTGTTGGCTAGAGGGAGGACTCCAGGACTTCCCAACAACTCACACAGGTCCACAGTCCATTTTACGGTCTGCATCAGAAATCAGGTTTCAGTCACAAACATGAAATGATAATGACTAATTTGCCATTCTCCAGTCTCTCCCAAGGCTTGTCCCATGCACTGCTTCTAGCAGGAGAGAACCCCAAGAGGACAGAGTGCAACAGATGCATGAGTCCAGTGCATGGATTAAACCACTTTATTACATTTCCATTTGAAGCAAACCACACATCTTGAACCAAATACTGTTTGGAAATATTTCAGTTTGGTGTTTAAATGATAATCCCCTGGATTATGGAAGTGCTGAGCTCACAGCCTCTACTAACCAGAGTCAGATAAATGCTTAACTGTGCAACAGGCAATGAAGCATTACTGACTCAGGTCTGTGTTACCTTGAATCCTTGGGCATCCAGCTGGGAACAAGTGTGTCCAAGAAGTGTGGTTTAACCCTTTAGCTGCTGTTTTGTGGAAGTGGGGAAGAAACTAATTTATTCTGCTGTGAATACACTGATTCTAGCTGGGGTAGTCCATTTGCTTCAGAGGAGCTGGAATGGAGCTGTGGATTTGTACTGGAAACAGCACTGGTAACACGGGGATGGTTTTTGCTGTAGCTGAGCAGCAACTACAGAGCCCAGCCCTGCTCAGGAGGCTGAGGGGGCACAGCCTGGGAGGTGACAGGGACAGGACAGCTGAGCCCAGCTGAGCCCAGGGACATTCCACACTGCATGACATCAGGCTCAGCATATAAAGCTGGGGGAAGGTGGAGGAAGGGTTTATGGGTGATGGAGCCCTGCTTTCCTGGACATGGCTGAGGGAAGTGGTGAATGGATTCCCCTTTTGGGGGGTGCCTGCCCATGTGGCTCTGGTTTATTATTAAATTCCTGATGTCCAGCCATCAGTTTTCTCACTTTTACCTTATGATTCTCTCCCCCACCCCTCTGGCTGTGAGGGGCTCAGCTGACAGCCAGGGATAAGCCATGATAGTGACAATACCCACCAGCAAATTCTTGTAGACTTCTCATTATCAACAGGAAGATGCAATAAGTGTGGCACCAAAATCATTACAGCAAAAATTTATATACAATGCATTTAAGTTTACAGTGTGCAAAATGTTAACACAAAAATACATCCTCTAATTTACATCAACTCACCATACCTTTCCCTTTTTAAGAAAATAAATATAATACAATCTGTCTCAAAAAACAATTAATAGCAACAAGTATTAAACAGTCCTGAAATAAATATTTCAGGATTACTTTCAGCAAGCCTTTCTCTAGAAATCAGGGCTTACACAAAGCTCTGGAAGAAACAGGTGAGATTACTACAGTCCATTTAGTCCTGTAAGTGACAATTTTAAGGGCTATAAATTCTTGATTTCAAATAGAAATGGATCAAAGACAATTGTACTGCATTTGGTATTTCCTTCTTACTAGCTACATTTATGAAATCCTTACTTCTTAGCAATGAAAGCATGGCAGCATTCAGACATTAGTCTTTGATTACAAAGACTTGACCCCAAATCCAAAGCTATTCCTTATTGTCCCGACAGTTTCCAAAGTGCTTTATTACTCACTCAAGCAATCAATCTAGAACCAAACCTATAATCAGTACTTTTAACAAAATCTCTTTCTCATCCTTTTAACGCATAAGACAAAAACAACATACTGTACAATGTATTCCCTAGTTTCTGCAATCTGACAAAATTACTTAAAGTGCAATTTAAAGCTGGAAATTTTTTTGTAAGCATAAGCTTATTAACATTTTATTATACTGCCATGAATTTAAGCTAGATTATATCTGATTAACCTGGGATAGTGTATTTTAATATACAAGCTTTTACAATTAAAACATGAATTTTTTAAAAAATAGCTATGTAAAACATCATGACAAATAATACTGTGCTCAAAGTTCTATCCAGCTTTCCACAGATAGATTTTCTAAAGGAAAATAGTTTCTCTTCTGACTAGACCAGAAAGAGTAAACAAAGAAATTAAAAAAAAACCCAAAAACCCAAACCCACTTTAAAGTAAATGGAATGTTTAAACTGAAGCTTAGAGAAGCCCAAATTCACTGAAGTTTGAAGCACCTGTAAACCACAGACATACTTTCAGAACCTTTAAGTACACTTAAAACTATTTTCTATTTCAATATATAATTAATATTTTAGTGTTTTGCTGTTAGTCTAATAGAGGTTTTCTCAAGGAAGAAAAACTCAAAATCTGGAAGAAAGTTTTCACATTTGATTTTTAAATTTTTTATTTGCATAGAAAGCAACAACCCAATCCCACCATTTTATCCACAGAAAGAATTTACCACGTCGGCATCATATCAGGAAACCACATTCTTCCAAGGTGTTTGGAGACTTCCAGATGAAGCCGATCTAAGCTGTAATCACTGTCGGGAATCAGCACCTCCTCCATGATGGAAAGCTGAGTAAGCCTGCCCCCACACATCTTTACAAACTCAATAAAACCTCTGCAGGTGACCTCACACTCGCCCAGCCCCATGGCCGTTAAGTTCTTACAGCGCTCGGCGATCTGGATCAGTTCATCATCCAGGGGCTGCAGGCCATTGGCGCACACCACCAGCTCGATCAGCCTGGGGCAGTTCATGCCAATGCGACCCAGCATGGCCTTGCTCACCGCACGGCCGAAGTACAGGTGTGTGACGGGGGTTTCCTCTCTGAAGAAAGCATCGAATTCATCTTCGTACAAGAAGAAATACATCACAATGTTGACTTTGGGGGAGTGTTTAACAAGAGCATCCCAGCTTTGTTTTTTAATGGTGTGGAATTGAACTTGTCCGGGATTTTCACTCACGACGTCAATGCGAAGGTGTTCGAGATCAACGTGTTTTTCACTTGAAAGAGCCAGCAGCAGTTCATCACTTAATATGTAGTAGTTCAAAGCCAGCTCCTTAAGTCCATGACACTGATCAGCCACACAAAGAATGCCTGAGGAACAAAAAAAATTCACTCTTTAAAATGTAAGCACAGCTGTTCTCTGTAAAGTTGGCTTGAGTTTTCATGCTTTTATCCAAACCCCATGAAATTCCCAAATTCTAGGTATCCACAACCTTTTACAGAGTTCTGACCACTAACACTTCACAGTAAAAGACAGAAGTCACATTCATCTTGGATCTGCATATCTCCTCTTTCCCCCTCCCTATGCAGAATTTGCTCAGCTTTGAAGAAGCAACTGAAATCAAGTCAGATTCAGCTGAAGTTGCTGCCATTCCCTTCCCTAATACTCATTCCTCCAACTTTCAAATACTTAAATCACCACCACCCAGTTTAACAGCCACAACCTTCTGTGAATTAAGACCTAAATAATGTTAATTCCTCCTAATCTGTTGGAATATGAGGAACACAGATTAAGTCATCTTTTGTGAACTCCAGAAAAGAATACAGGAATAGACCAGACCCAGACTCCCTTTTCCCAGCACTAAGGTTTCAGGAGAAAGGAAAGTGAGAAGAGACCCCGAAGCCCTCTGAACTTTCAGCAAGGGTATATTTTGAAGGGAGTGAGTCCTTCACCAATCAATGAGGAAGTCACCAGTCCCAGATCTGAACACATGAGGGCACTCTGGAAGCTGGAAACAGTCTAACACACCACCGGTTTCTGAAATGTGTACACACTCTCAGCACCTTGCAAAACAATTACTGACAACTGTTATAATCTCCTTTATCCCACCAAGCAGTGGCTGATTCATGGATCAGGGATTCTATGGTGTTCCCACAGAACACTGGTTAGTTAAGTTTACAAATCTGCACACACATTAAAGAGCCATTAGGTTACCCTCAAATGGTAAAGCAATGAACATCACATCCTTTGAGCATGTCTGAAAGGCTTGCACTCATTTTGAAGGCTTTTCCTCCTCAAGGCCTATCATCACAGGCAGCAAAGCAGCTGGAGAAAATGAAAAAATATCCCCAGGATTCCAGAAGATGCAGTCAAGTGAGTAGCATCCCCACCTTCATCAACCCAACTCATTCACTAAGAACCACCTTCTTCTTCACCTTCCAACTGTCCACACTCAAGACTAAGTCAATTATGCTACTTTACGACTCCATTTTTCACATACATTCAGTACTCACCAGCAGGTGAAACATGAGGACAGCTGCTCATTTTTAGTAGTTTTAGAGTATCACTGTTGTTAGCAACAAGAACCTTCAAGGAAGGATCATCAAGGGGTGTGTCATCTATCTTGATTGATGATAATGACTTGGAGTTCACAAAAACTACTGTCAGTGCTGACGCAAAATGAGCCTATTTAGAGAAATTGCAAGAGGGAAAAAAATCTTATGAAAAGATGAGCAAAACTTCAGGGCTTTGACCTCACATTCTACACAGGCAGAAAGTATAAAAATAAACACTTCCCATGGATGCTCTTTTTCACATAACAAAGGATTATTTGAACATAAACAGAGGGGACCTTTGTTTAGAAACATGCTGCCACATGTGACAAAATTAACCTTACACTCAATATTTATCTACTCTGATTTATCATTTCACTGTAATACATTGATAACTACAGGGATAACTGGACACAGTGATGAGCCTGAAGTATCTGGAGTTTTTCTGCAGAAAAATAGAAACGGCCTTTATTTTCCAGTAAGTAATTCTTCTGTTACTTCAAAGTAACTAGAGACTGTTTCATGAAAATTACCATCAACTTAAGAAGAGAACATTAAGAAAGCTGAAGTGGTTTAAGAAGGAATTAAAATATGTTAGTTACAATTTCTAGAAGTTTACCTTAGAGACATTCATGAAGCTTGGTTTTGCTGTAGAGATCAAACCCAGTGTCTTGATAGAGCAGTTCACCAACTGAGAAAGGATGTCACAAGCTGCTTCTGCTGACTCAGTACTACTGTCAACCTATAAAAGCAATTTAAAAAGAGTGAAGTCATTCTGCAATATTATTTAGAAATCATCATGGACACCCAAGACTGCAGGTTCTACATCTACTCAGCTCCTGACTGCAATCATCACAGGCACAAAGTGCAACATCGACTGAAAATTTCAAGACCAGAAAAAGTTCAGGCAAGTTCCTATTAGAAAATTTTCCTGAGTGTGACTGCTGGGTAATTCCAGTATGAACACACACCTTAAATCTAAGTCTTGTCTTCAAATAACCTCATGCTACTGCAATACTGTAACAGTACTGGTGCTACAATACACAGTGATATGCATCCATTTTTTTAAATGCCATCTTTTAGAGCCCAGAAAAGACTTGACAAAGTCCTTGCTCCAGCAAATCAATTAATTTTATCTACATGGACAACACCTTTGCATCTTAAATAATGAACTCATTCAAAATTCATAAGCCTGAAGAATAACTTTGAACAAATGTCTTATTTTGCCTCACCTTCCACCTCTGTTTTACACCACACTCACTATTTCTATACTCTGCAGAGGTTAGAGTATATAAAATTGTATGAAACTGTCTGCACATGTGGAAATGAAATGTTGCAGTAGTTGCATTTTTAAACATAAGACTTGCAAGGCACAACCCTTAAGGCAGCTGACACAGAACAGCTGCATCCCTTGTGCTCAGTGACGTGACACTGACCCACAGCTCATCCACAGCTTACCTTGAAGCTGACATACTGCAGATGGTCAGCGTGCCTCTTGATAATCTGCTGAATGAGATCTGGATGTGTAGACTTTAAATAAGAAGTGGCTGGCTGGCTAAGTTCAAATTCAAATCTCCTCCAGAGATCTGGGATGTGAAAAACTTCATTCCACCTTCGACAAACAGAAGATGCCCTGGCCCGATCCACTAAAGTCAGGAACTGGAAAACGCGCAGGATCACGTGGTGTGGAAGGCTGCCCCAGTCCATCGAGGTGCACGGCTCAGATTCCCCAAAACCTGAGCCATATAAACTAGTTTTCTGTTTTTTGCTTGTCTGTGATGTTCCAGGAGCTTCAGTTCCAGCCACCACCTTCTGCCCAGCTCTCTTCATGGTGAAAGTTTCAGAATGTAACAGTCCAACGTATGCAAACTGCACAGGCTCCTGAAAGGTCTCACGTACAACAGGTCTCTAAAAAAACACAGAAGATCAGGGGAGGAAGGGAGAAAGGCCAGTGAAGCACACGTAAGCAATAACAAGTTAAAAAAATTTAAATACAGCACGATATTTTGAAAAGAAGCATATCCATATGTCAATATCCAGTGCACAGATACTGTCAAGGACCTTCTCCCTCAGTACCTTTTAGTTTGTACAACTTGGATTGAATCTGGAGAACTTGGACTTGATTTACCAAGTGTAGTTTCATATAGTAGCATTTCACAGTACATAAAGCATTTTGTAGGCATCAAGAAGTATTTAACAGCAATTTAATTTAGAAGTAGAAAATTGATTGTTTAAATTTAAATTCAGTTGACAAACTATGGAATCTACTCATAATCTCTAAAAAAGGTTTATCAACTAAAAAACGTAATTCACAAACTCCTTTGTGAAACACAGACAGACCTGGAACAGACATGTTCAGAAGAGTCAGATTGAAAAGTTTTGCCCACCTTCCTCAGTTTGCTTTTTTTTCCAAATAATGCCAAGCAGAGGAAAGTGTTTGTACAACTAACAGTAAAAAACTTCAGAGGCCACTTATCAAAGCAGGGCAAAGTAACTGAGGTTCACATGCTGTTTTTCAGCAGTAAAAGCACAGTGACCTTGGAAATCAGCAAACTGCACAGATCTGCTTCAGCAAGGGACGTCTGCCTCACGAGCCAGAGCTCAGAAGAGCAGCATAAGAAAAAAGCTCTGGTTTCACAGGCTGAAGCAGTGCAACCTAACAAAGTCCATTCTAGACTGAATGCTGTTGTTCAGTCAGTTTTCAACAACTGGCTTTGCCATTCATTTTAGTAGAGGTTGAAGCCCCTTCTCAAATCTCCCACTACCCAGATGTAAATCCAGACCTTCTCTCTTCCCAGCATGTGTGAAGTATTTTCAAAGCAACAATGCATTTTTCAAGAAAGAACAGAGCATATTATCTATTTTTACTGAACAAACTTCCATGGCAACCCCCACAGCTTGCTTTTTCTGGACTGAAAATTTTCCATAATATCTTTATTATGGAGGGGAGGTGGGAAGGAAGGAAAAAAATTTATGTATTGCACAAACACAAATGTGTGTACTGCAATATCAGCTGCCAAAATACATACTATCCTCTCAAAAAATTACCTGGCATTTTCCTCAACCTATAAACCTGATCCGTTTGGCTCATGAGTGTCTGATAAGCTCCATTTTTATGAAAAGAAAGCATGTGCATTCTTTGAGAAGGTGGAAAGAAAAATGCAGCCAATTTACTAAGGGCTGTTCATACGACCAGCTTCACTACTGCTTGACCTCCTGACAAAGTATCTCAATCACCAAGGAATTTATTTTAGCAGTTCTTATACATCATCACCCAGTCTATTTAAATTTCCATCAGCAATATATGCAGACAGATAAGCCAGCAATACTCTTTAAATTATATTAAATAATAGTTCTTCTTCCCTGAGTAGACACATGGCTTACACTAACAGTGTTACTAATGTAATGAAGATGCAGGCTCGGCATGAACAAACATTATTAGACCATCAAGTTATCAACTCCACAACCATGTTTTATGACTTTAGACTACTTTAAGTCACACAACAAATGAGCATCCCAAACCATTAAGTGTAGATGTAGTAATTAACCATTACAAAACTCTCTCTTACAGTTGATCATAGCCTTGCTAAATTTAGCAAAGGCTAAATACCTTGTGAGTCAAATATACCTGTTGCTTGTTTTTCTTCTTCCCTACTTGAAAAGAATTACAGACTTGGCTGTTTACTAAAACAAAAGTCCAGAACAAAAAAATGAAACTGAACACATGCTATTGTTTGAGACACTTCTCCTTGCTATTGCTACTCTCAGGCAGATCAGCAACATCTTGGTTAAAGATAGGTTTCTGATAAAAATGGAAATTTCTGCTATCTTACTTGAACTTCATGGGTGCTGATTTGGCTCCCACAAGGAAGCTCTGACATCTGAGAAGAACCAGAAAGGGCATTTCCCTAAACCACAGGTCAAGCTTCAGACCAGAGTCAGCACTCCAGATGCAGGAAGAGATGCAGCATGGTATTGCTGGCACACACAGCATCTATGCTCTGCCTGCTGCAATTTGGCCAGAACTTGTTCTTGTTGCTACAGCCTTTAGAAACTGCTGTGTCCAGAATGTCTATGTTTAGTATTCTACACTACAGTCCTTTATATCTAGCAAAATGAATTCCTATTATTCAGTGTGGGATGCAGAGCCAGAAAAAAGGTTCCATTGGTTATGCATTGTAATATTTTTAACAAACATGAAGCCCCTATATTTACTGCAAAAATAAGAATCCTTATTTCATTCTAAATCCTTATGAACAGTATACATTTTAAAGCACAACTGAAGTGGTTAAGTGACAGTCCCATGTGATATAACCCAGGCAGCATTCAAATGAGAGGTTTACACTCACACACACACAGCCCTACCTCCAAAGAATGTGGAGGTTCCTGTCAAGTCACCAGCACCTTTCTGGTATCTGAACATCCATCCCACTGTTGAGTCATCCTGTATGTGCACATGGATTCCTTAACCAGAAGGCAGGGAAGGGTCCCAGAAGATGAACCAACCTGTGAAGCCACCAACCAAAGAAAAACTGTTCTGCAAAGTCTGGGAAACCCACAGAAAGGACTAACATCAATCCTGGAACAGAGACTGGGACGAACAGAACCCACTGCTCTGAGGCAGATGTGGAAGCAGAGCAGAATGTAACAAGCACATTAGTTTTACCAAACATTATCTGAAAAATACTATTTAACTAAGGGGAAGGTGTAATTGTTAGCAAAAAAATAGCTTTTGCATTATCTACAGTTTTAGTCACATAATCACTCTTGCAACACAGATACACCTCTGAATGCTTGAGTATCACCCAAAGAAAACTACTAACCCTGATAACAAATGTTTATTTTTTTTCAGCCTACTCTATAACAAAACCATGTGAATCAAAAGATATACTTAAAGACAGGACCTCTAATATTCTGACATTTAAAGACTCTTGACTTTAAATTTACTCACTTTTACTCCAAAAGTATGCTTACTGCACCATGATAATCTTGACAGTAAAACAAACAATTCTGGCTAATTAAACTGTATCTGGAAAAAAATATATCAATAATGTACAAATATCCTCCCACATACTAATGAAAAAACTATCCTGTGTCTTAGTATGACACAGGTGTCATACTTGAGTATCTTGGTGCACTATAAGAAAAAAGACTCAAGCCCTCCATACTCACCTACCAATTTTACATTATCTGAAGATGCTTTAATGGAAAGCTACAAGAACAGCAACACCCACCTCACTAAACCATGACAGATTGTAGAAACAGAATTGTTTACCAGGTATTGTGTTACACCAGTAATAACATCCATAGAAATCTTCCAATACTGAATTTCTCTATTTTTCTTTAAAAACTGGACAAGACTTTGGATTCTCCAAGATCATATCATCATCTTTAGAAAAACTACCAAGTTAATATCAGCTTTATAGATGCCAAGCTTAACAAAGGTGTGGTATACATTATTTATGAATACATGAGAAGTAGCCCCCATCCTCCACACAAAATCAAACTCAAGTACTGCAATCTGTGCAAGTAATGCTGCTGCTCAGCTCACACACCAGAAAATTTAGAGCTGAGTAGTCATGCTTGTCTATAAAGAGAAAGCTGATACTCATTAGTAACTCTGTTTGTGGGTGGCACCTGAAGAAATCTGTCATTTATGGTGGCCTTGTATTGCACACTCTGCAAGTATCACATGTTCTCTCTCCTGTGAAGTGAGCAGAGTCTGTACAGCTTAGAATTCATTTTAGTAACTACTGCCAGTGTCTAACAGATAAAAGGTTTATAATGCCCCATATAAACAGCATGCATAAATAAAATTATAACTGAAAGCACAAAACACTGAGATGCAATTTAAAGATTCAACAGAGAAGTGTATGAAGTTTATAAACCACATATTTTGAAGCAACTTTCTTACCTAAAGAATGCTTCCAAGTTACAATAGGCAATAAATGAGTGAACTGAGGCAGCTGCAGCCATGGGCCACTCACATGCATCTGTCTGCTTTCCCCTCCTGCCCAGATAAAATGCCACAAAAACATGTGTTAGTTTTGAAAAAAAAAAAAATTCATATTACATCCAATGCAAAAATGATAGGGAAATACACTGACATCAATTTATAAATTTTCTTGCTTTTGTAAAGGAGCTTGAGGGGATCATCTTAACACAAGGTAGCTTATCCCACAATGCAAATATTATCACTGAAAGAAACATGAGGTCAGATTAAGTACAAAAGTGATGGGAAACAAATGTTGCAACTGCATTTACATTTACTGGTCAACAGTACAATGTAAACAGCAAGTTATTCAGTATTTGCATTATCACTACTAGCGAATCTTGGTAAACAACACTGTAGCTACTAAAGTAATCTAAGAGTCATGAAAAACAGAGGAAAAAAACCCACCCAAATGTTTTTTCCTGCCTCCTTCCCTCGTGTGGCAAGGCCATCTAATGGGCTGTGTGATGAACACACAGAGCCACATGGCCCAGCTCCCCAGCACAAACGTGCCTGGCTGCAGTCGCAGGCAGGAGCTGCTCCCACAACAACAGCGCCCAGCCCGCAGCACCTCCCTGGTTACGGGCCTGCAGGTGACAGCCCGGGCCACCCGGGGAGCTGCATCACAAGGCACTGCATCACGGGCTTCACATCAAAACTCTCCTGCCTCCCTCCACGTTATTTTCTTTTAATATGACATTACAGGAAGGTTTATGTTTCAGTCTTCTATCACAAGTAATCATTCAAAGCTTTACCCCCAGGAACATCACAAAGAAATTTATTTTATAAAAACACAACAAAAGCCTGAAATCTTTGTTGTGATAAGCTTTACATTGTTTTTACACACCCCATCATGGGGGTGGGGGGATGAGTACCCTTCCACCTCTTCTGAACTCAGGATTTCAGTATTCTTCCCAACACCCCTCATGTGGCCACAGCCAAAAGTAATTACTAACAGCAAACTGACATCTGAAAATCAAGGAAAGAACAGTAATATCCTTTCATAGTAATAATTGTATCAATATATGTAGTCAATAAAGACTACCTACAGTGCTCAGCAGGCTTCTGAATTTCACAGAGATGGGACCTGTAAAAGCCAAATAACCAAGAGAACCCCTGAGGAAGAGAGCTTCTCTTGAACAGACCTGTCCCCAAGACCCCTCAGAAGAGAAGGAGGTTCATACTTTTACACTGCAGATAAGAACTAGCAGAATTTCAGATAATACATTTAAAAAAAAAATTACTGGAAGTGACTATTAGCAATAAAAACATGATCAGGTGTACATCCAATGTACATCTGAGTGTCTAAGGCCAAAAGGACCATCCAAAGCAATGTAAATGTTAGCTTATGTAAGCAGAAATATATAGAATAAAATATTAGTTATCAGAAATGCAATCAAATACAAGCTTGTTATGCAAACAACAGAGAATTGTTATCTAAGGCAGTTATCCAAATGATTATCAAAGATAAACAGCAGCAACACAGTAACTGAAATGAAACACTTTGATAACTGCTGAGGCTCACCAAATCTATTCATATCCTCATCGGTGCAAGCAAAGTAGCAAAAAATGGTGCACACCCCCCATACAGCTCTACCTGCGATCCAGGATTTTGACAGCTGCACATTATCCTACTCAAACTACCTCAAATGCACTAAAGCCAACAGGATTCAGAAAAAATCAAGTTAATTAACAGTTTCTGCAACTTATTCTGCCAACAGAGCTGTGAACTTCTGCTAAAATTAAGACATTAAAACCTCTCTGGTGGCATGAGGGCTTGTGGGGGATTTGAAAAGTGGTCAGCAGTGGCTCTGTTAAACAAGCCTTCAGTAGCTGTTCATTATCTTCCAGGCTACATCCGTTCAAAAAAAGGTTTCATTACTGTAACCAAGCATATCACAGATTCAAGCCACAAAAAAGTCACTGCTTCCTTTAATTTCTAGATGTCCCTTCCAGTTCTTAACACTGGGACTCAAGAGGAATTAATAAAACACAATAAGATCAGGTTTCTAGTAGAAACAGCAGCAACCAAACATAAATACAGCAAAAAATGAGTTCCTGAAAAATAAAAACCCTACCAAATAACCAAGCTTGGAAATATCCTGGGATAAAGCCGGCATCTTTATAAATAAGCTTTAACTTTCTAACACCTAAATCGATGTTTACGGACCTGCCTTACACGGCTGAAATACCGGTCCCATTAATCACAGTGTCTTTAAAGAAATCGCAGCTCAGTGACAGCAGCCGAGGCCACCCCCTCACCGCGTTAGGGAGCTCGGAATTCAGAGTCTGTCTGGGACCAGAGCAGCACAGGGCAGGCAGCCCTGGGAACTGCTGCCACCACAAATTCAACCACTGCGCATGCTGCAAAACATAGGTAAAAATCACATTTTAAGCCTAATTCTCAGAAGATCCAGTCCTTCAGGATGATGAGCTCAGTGATTAAGCTTTTTCTTCATCTAGGGCATATCAGACTTTTAATGGGTGGCATTTTTGCTTCTGAAGAGGATTATTTCATTTTTTTTTACTCAATCCTTATTTTTCTCAAAACTGAGCCTCTGAGTCAGGGGATTTACTACATTTTTAGTACGTTTATGAGAAACCCTCAGAGTTCTAAAAATAACCATATTCAGCTGAACATCTTAATGCTTGCATTAATTTCAACTGAAATAAACAAATGCACTGACACATTTAGCACTATTTTGGTGGTGAAATTTAGATAGTGGACTTCTAGTGATGCATTATTTTCAGAAGGAAGCCAGCCCAACGCCCAAGACCCCTCGTTTTCCTTCAACAGCACATCTGAAGCTGCACAGCTCTTTAGAAAAGCTCTCTGGACGGCTCACCCACACGCCCACGGCAGGAATGAAAAGCAATCATTACTTCCACAGGTTTTCTTGAAACCTTCCTAGCCGACTTTAACGAGCCCCTGAAGCTCCTTTACATGGGAAAATCGGCTCCCAGGCACCGCGCTGCCGCAGCTCGGCGACAGCTCCGGGGATGGCACAAACCCAGGGCACCGCACACCGAGCCCCTCACGAGGTTTGGCACTCAGGGAGAATTTAAGTCTCCAGGCGCGGAGTGCGCCTGTCTGTCTATCTGTCCGCCCGTCTGTCTCCGCAACCCGGGCCGGCCCCGCGGCCTGTCCCCCACCCCCCCGGCCGCCGCGCACGGGCCGCTCCCCGCCCCGCCGCCCCAGCGCAGGCGCCGGGCGAGGCCGCGGGCGGCGGGCACGTGACGGCGGCGCCATTTCGCGCCCGCCGCCCTCGGCCCGTGGCAAAATGGGCGGGCCGAGGTGTCGGCTTGGGCCGGGAGTGACCGCCGGTGGCCCCACAGGGATGGGGTCTGCTCCTGGCCCTGCCCGCAGGGCAGGAGGCTGTTGGTTCTCCCTCACTAGCCCTCAGAGTCTCACAGTCACTTAGGTTGGAAAAGACCTCTGCGATCATCGAGTCCAACCTGTGACCGAACACCAATTTGTCAAACAGACACTAATACGAAGGATGTGTGCTCATGTCTTTCCAAGGGTGAGGGTATGGGTGCCAACATCTTTGAAACAGGTCTTAATGTTGCTACCCACTTCAAGCCGTGGGTTTGTTACAGAACCCAGATGGTTTGACTCCTGAAACAGGCAAATGCACAAGTCTGAGTTTCTGAACTTTGGGGTAAAATGACAGCTTCAGGGCGGGATATGGGGTAGGCGACTGGGGAAGGCTGTACCTTCCTAGTGCCTCAGCTGATGGGGAAAGGAAGAGGGCAACGTGCAGCTGGGAATTTAGGATAAAAGGAGACTGTGCCCTCTGAAAGCTCAAGAGAGCAAAGATCCCATGGGCCTGTGCCCCAGAGGCCTCTCCTCCTTTATTGGAATGAAGTTTCAGGGCTCTTCTGTCTCCTTCCTAGACGCTGGCTTTTCCTAGCATGGTTTTCCGTACAGCACTGAGTGTCATGTCTAGTTTTTCCTTTAACGCCGCCAGGAATGGTGACTCAACTGCCTCCCTGGGCAGCCCATTTCAATGTCTGATGACATTTTTTGGGAAGAAATTCTTCCTAATGCTCAACCTAAACCTCCCCTGGTCCAGCTTCAGACCATGTCCTCTTGTCCTGTTGCTGGTTGCCTGGTCACTGACTCCCACCTGGCTGCACCCTCCTGTCAGGGACTTGTAGAGAGCAGGAAGGTCCCCCTGAGTCCCCTTATGCCCAGGCTGAGCCCCACAGCCCCCTCAACTGCTCCTGCCCAGATTTGTGCTCCAGACCCTGCCCCAGCTCTGTTTCTGTTCTCTGGACCCGCTGCAGTCCTGCAGTGTTTGTGAAGTGAGGGCACCACAACTGGACACAGCCCTGGAGGTGTGACCCACCACTGCCAGGTACAGGGGTCAATCCCTTCTCTGCTCCCAGTCCACACTGTTGCTGATACAGACCAGGACCCATTGTCCTTCTTGGCCACCTGGGCACACACTGGCTCGCATTCATTTCCTGCCACATGTATTTTCCATCATTTCCTGACATGAAGTGCCTGTAAGCCCTCATCGTCCTTGAGCTAAGGCAGCCCTAGCTGGAAACTGTCCCACGAGCCTCTTCCAGGGGCTGCTCCCTCCAGGCAGAGCCATCCCCTTCCCGTGGGAGCTAGGCTAGGCTCATAGATATAGAATCATAGAGGAGGGTGGCATACAAGCAGCTGTTACTGATTTTCTAGCAATCTTTTGGCCCTATCCTGTACAGCAAAACTTTCCCTGCTTGCTGTGTGTATCCTCTCTGGGGCATCTCCAAAGCACCCCACTGAGAGAGGGCTGAGCACTGCATCACATCCAAACTGCAGATGCCCAAAGTATGCCTTTCAATGTGTTGTCTAAAGCATAATTTTAAAAAAGCCTTGCAGATTTACTCCGTGCAGAGATACTGCCTAAAAGTTCATTGCTAATCAGCACTGCTTTATTATTGTAGTTATATCTTGCTGTATCTGAACAATGGAGCTTTTATTACCAACTGCAAAACATTTGCAGCCACAAGTTTCCTGGCTCTTGCATATAGCAATTATTTACCAATAATAAGCCTTTAAATAATTGTTTTTATGAAGAGGTAATGCCAAACCTGTGCAGCATTTCCATGGTAGATTATATCTGCCCTACATAAAACCAAAGCTGGCAAAAGTTAACTGACTATTCGTGTGACCTCAAAATACAGTTTATTCCCACACATCTAAAAGCCTAGAAAATTAGCATGTTGAAAGGCTAATGAAACAAACTGAAAGGAATATTTGTCATACAGTCACTGTGATATCTTCAAATTCCTCAATTCCTCAAGTCATCTTCAATTTCCTCAAACAGAGAGACAAAATGCACCACACTCTTAAAATCAATATAGTTTTGAAAATCTACCAAAATTACTCTTACCTATATGTTTCTTGACTGCTTTATTCAGAATTTACAGGAAGTAGGAGATTAGGTTCCAGATAATTTTTTCAAGTATTTTGTCCCTAGTAGATTAAACTGATTTTTTTTCAGTGTATGCTGCTATGAAAGCCATCTTCAGCTTAGTAGTTACTCTCTGTAGACAGTAGTAGAGGATAGATTGTAAACACAGATTAGTGCAGATTTGCAGCTACTATCTAAATCCCCTAGTCATGGGTTTCTCTGGTGCATTGCCAGTAACCTTTGGGCTGCTGTGCAGGAACAGGTTCAAATGCACCTTAGACAGATTCATATAGGTTAATCTCTGAGGCTTTCTGTATAGGAGAGTTTCCTGTTTTGATCTGATCTAGCAGAAACACATTTTATACCTAACTTAAAATGGGCAAGTATAAAATAGTGTAGAAGAATTCTGTGCATTTTATAGCTGTAGTGATTATTGCTCAAATGCTTACAGGTAAATATGAATTAAAACAAAAAAATCAGCTATAGATTTGTCAGTACTGGAAGGAAATAGGCACAAACATGAGCCCACCCAGGAGATTCTGTCTTCTACTCATACCCCAGAGGTCTGACACCAGAGCTTGGCATCTCCAAATCCTTCATGTCATACACAAGATGCAAACATGAAGGGAAGCTGCATCACTGGCTCATAGAACCACAGAATTATTTGGGTTGGAAAGGACCTTAAAGGTCAAGCTTCTCCAAGCCCTTGCAGGGACACCTTCCCCTAGAGCAGCACCATCCAGCCTGGCCCTGACGCAGGCAGCTACTCTGGATACAGACCCTACTTTCCTAAGCCCTTACTGCCCACGTCAGAGCCACTCAAAGTCAGGCTTAGCCTCCCTCCTGTGGTTGTCTCTCCTCAAACCAGATTTACAGAAAGATGCAGTCTACTCACTTCTCATGTTTATGGTGATTACAGGAATGTTTTGTGTAGTAATTCACACTGGTTTCATAATACATACTCTTTCTGCACTTTGATCAAGAGTGATATTCAATTTTTTTTTATCACTGGGCTTTGAAGTAGTAATCAAGAAAAACAGTTTGAATAAAACCATGAGTTAATTAGTATAAGAAAGCATTCAGGAAATCAAAATTTCCCTGAGACCAAGATTGAATGTGTGTCAATTCAGAATCAGTATGCCATGAACTTGAAAACTTTACAAGGACTGTGTGAAAAGTCTAGAAATTATTGGCCATTTCTTAACTAGTTTTTAACAGACAGACTGCAGAAGTGAGAAGAGAGAGTTCAGAAAAAAAAATGAAGGAGATTAGGATGTTTATTGTAAAATCAGGCAGGAAGCCATGCAGTACATTGTGCTGTACAAAGCCAGTTCATACAGAGAGGTCTCAAAAAGAACTCACCACCAGCTTTTTTGACACCCATACTTTGGCATAGCTGAGCTTCATTGCAAGACTTACACATTTTAATGCAAGCTCTGCTTCATTTTCATTGTGGTCATGATTCTGACAAATCCTCACAACCAAAGGACACAACTCTTGGTTGAGTGCTGTCTTCAACTCTTGGAAGATCACAGAGCAGGCCGTGGTGCTGGGCTTTGGCTGGAATTCACACAGGCCCCATCATTTCCATGCTGAAGGGTATTCAGGGTCAGTCTTAGCTTGGCCCTGAAAGCAGTTGCATTTGTATCAGTGTGCTAAGCCAAATAAGTCCTATATTGTAGCCATTCCTTTTAAAAGTTTAATTATAATTCTTAATTTTAAACCCAAATTCTTAAACTTTGTGATCAGACTCGGCAACTTTTACAATTTAAAGCTAACACTGCAGACTGGAGCAGTGAATGAGGCTCCTGCCCAGAAAGTGGGTTAGTATGTCGTGTTTGCTGGAGGCTCATGAGCTGCTCTGCCAGACACCAGCTGCTGCACAGGCGGGCAGCAAGAAACAGCCTGTCTTGGGAATAGAAAG